CAAAGACAAAATCATCATTATTGATTATAAAAGGGGCAATGTTGTTTTGAAACAGGCGAAGGAGAAAGACAGTGTATATATACATTTGTGCTAGAGACAACGATCACTGGCATTAAGGAAGCAATTAATAAAAAAAAAAGTTTATAACAACTACAGGAGTGTTGATGCAGTCCACAGGGACCTGAAACGGATTTAAGAAAGATAGAATACATGTATATGACCAAATTGTGCAAAACAGCACAAACTGATTGCGCAGAATAACGTGAAGATGAAATTGATGGGGAAATGATATATTTTCGAGAAAATATAGAGTTGTTATTTATATTTTAGTGGGGGGAGGGGTTACAGAGATGTACGTTATCCAAACCTAAGGTGCATGGGTACATATGCATTGAAAATTATGGAATTTTTCGCTCAAAACATGTTACATGTATATATGTACGGCATTAGATATTTTCTGTTCCGTTTTCCGTACCCTGTGCTCTGTCTATGTTCAGACATCTTCATAAATAAGAGAATGAACATGACTAAATCAACTCGTATTTTAATAATTAAGGATTAAATATGAAAAAAAAAATATATGATATTTAATGTTTCTGGTATTATTTTTATATTTTAAGGGATTTAACCTGGAATCACGCTTTCCGTTCCGTTTTCCGTTCCGCGTTTTAGCAACACCCCTCCTCCATGGCACCTGGTCCCACCTCTGATGTTTTTAGAAGACCGTGTTTGCTCTTCTCTAAATTTGTATTGTTTCAATGGAATTGTGAGCTTGATTACTGTTTGTTATCTCCATATTTCATGTATTTCCACTTCAGTTTCTGAAGCTATTATAGTGCAGCACCGGAAATCACTTCACAGAAATCGTGATATTTCATTCCTGATAATGATTTTATCTTTCCGAAATAAAAATAATTGCCGAAAATCAACATATAGTCTTCTTTGCTCTACATGTACTAACTTATGTCTGCAAAATTTTTTGCCCCCCCCCCCCTCCCATCACAGTGAACATGGGAAATCATTTATAGTTTAAAAACTAAAATTGAATGATTCTGAGTTCGTGGTAATAAATGGCGTTGTTAAATAGCCTCTTTTAAAAGTTGACTCAATTTTTAATGTACCAGAACAATATTTCAAATTCAAATGTTTAAAATCCTGGGTCCGAATTTACCCTACTCGTTTTCAGTTTTCAGCGAGTTTCTTGTAAGCGTGGATGTCCTGCCGAACCCTTCCAGTGGTTTACTGAAACCTAAATATTTTCTTTGTTAACTGACACGATAGAATTTAGAAATCTGATATGATCACATATTTGTTATGTGTCAAGATTCCAAGTTTTACCGAAAGTTCAACTCGGGAGTTATAACCTTGAGCGACCTTTTAATAGGCCTCTTGGACCTAAAACCAAGTAGGGAAGTAAAAGTAAATATTAGAGAAAACTATAGGAAAAAATGAACACCGTATTTCAGGAGAAAAAAATTCATGCTTTTAAAATGTTAAACAATCAGACATAAACAGAGTAGAATGCTGATTTTAACTATCGCCGGTCTAGTGTTCAAATATATTTACTTGTTAGGGATGACTATATGGTACGTCTCTTCAAATTCATATCCTTGACACCTACAAGATATCCACGAGAAAACTGATTTCATAAAGTTTTATGGAGTAATTTCTTTTTTCATTTCTTTAAGTAAAGGTACATTCATTTACCTTATACTATGTATCTAGGATATATACATTTATTTACTCTTGACTGACTCGGACGTTAATGTGTTGAGGAGAAGGTTAACTGTAGTGTACATACAAGGTTAACGGTCATTACTTAGCGCGGCTGTAATGATGGTGTTAAGATGACCAGCCTACCGCGATGATGAATGTACCGGAGCGGAAAATAAGGTGTCTTTTGTATCACTTGACCCATCCCAGGAATTTTCAATGCATTTTTTTAAGGTTTGAATTAAAAAAGCGTAAAAGCAAACAGACCATGCTGATAATGATACACACACAATAAGGGAAGTTTGCTAGGGGTCACATTCCTTTATGATTAACTAGTAAAACTCCTATTTTCACAATCTACTTTTTCATAAAGAACCACAAAGTATAGAATTTCAGCATACGCGTTATTAAATACATGTAGAGAATATTCTGTAATATAATTAAACATTTTGTTGATATTTTATTGCGTGCAGAATGTTATTGTACAATGATTCACTATATCCATTTCTTCAAGCGCAGATGTAAATATTTATTTGTAGGTGTATTTTTTTAATATAAACAAATAATTGAAAAGAGTTAAAAGGGTAATCCCACGCGGAGTTAGTATTATAGTACTCATTACTTGGCTGACTGTATAGGAATATATATCGGTTAGGAACCAAAAAATTCAAATCGACTAAAATTCGTTCAATATTTAAGCGAATCAATCACCTGAATTCATGGAAGGGTCATAATACGTGCAGTGGTATTTAAAAGGAATTCAGTAGCGGTTTTACGTGCACGCACCTTCTGTGAGGAATTCAAGACCCCGCCCTGTTGGAATATAGTTCAATGTATCTGCGCATTTTGTGTAGACAAACGGTACCCAAGACAGAATAAAAATTGAGCTGTAATTATCTTTCATTTCAATCAAATACTAGCCCCAGGCGTGTTAACATGTTCCATCTTTCTACATATAGGCCGGGTATTTTTTTTATTTATACATAATTTCATTCACATAAAGTGAATGGGATTAGGCAGCAGGCATAGCCTATTTTAGCCCTCTCCCTACAGCAAGGTCAAGGTAAATACACTGCATAACATTAATAAAACATCTTTAAAAAATGCGAGGAAAAAAAACGGGAAAAAAACACAATGAAGTACCGGTTTGGAAAATATATACATTTACATGACAGTCTTCAAGTAAAACGTTTTGTTGCTGCTATATATGCATGTACTGCTTCAAAAATTTGTATATTAATATTGAGTCCATGATCAGGACTACCATATAATAATAATTTAAGTTCAGAAACCTGATTACAGTCAATAATATTTTGAATTCTTTGAAAAAGTATATCTCTATAAGATGCATATTTTGAACAAGGAAAAAGTAATGATAAGCATCTTCAACAGAATCAATACAGTGTTTATACATTGGTGTTTCTGATAAACATTGGCTATATAAGTCTGCCTTTAAATTACTTGCATTGTTCCTTAACTGACAATGTATTATATTGTATTTTCTTATTCCAATATGAAATAGTTCATTACTTTTTTTTTTTTTTTTTTTTTTTTTTTTTTTTTTTTACAAAAATAAGAATTCAAAAGACTTTTGAATGATGATATTCCAGAAGCATTTCTAATAGGCCGGGTATACATTGGACGGAATGTTTTCTAACCTGCTTCTTAATTCTTTTAACATTACAGTTGATTACATCATGAGGTGTATACATTACACATCAGCGGTTTAATTCCAGTAATTGAAATGGGTTTCATTTATTGTTATCATTCTTTAAATATTTACTAAGGATGTATGGTCAGAAATGTGTGTCAACTTGTAGGTGGCTGATTGACCAGCCTTGTACAGGTGTGTGGTTTTAACACTTTGATGTACCTGTAATTTATGACAAAAGCAGACACCTCAAGAATTTACCTGCCCCAGGTAAAAATTACCTGGTAATGTAGATACTGTTATCTCATAATGATAATTAGCTAGATTCTTTGTCACTTTTCTGATCCTGTTTTATACATACAGTACATTGTACATAGAAATGAGAAACACGAGATTTTAGAAAAAGAACGGCTTTAATATCTTAATGGCAGTTACGTATGAGGACTCCACACTCTTTATTTAACCTGCAAGTAGATAAATGTTATTGCATTTTAATTTTTTTTTTAAGATTAGATCTCTTCATCGTTTAAAAAAGAAGAGATCGACACCTACATGTACATGTGCAACTAATACTTTCGGAGAATTCTCGGTAAAAGTTCCACGATAATTATGTAAAATACATCAGATTTACATTTACTGTCTAATTCGTTAGTATATGTACATGTAATACCTTTTAAGAGAACGAAGAATAAAACCGAACATCCAAACCAACCAAAACACAATAAAATAAAAACGCTCAGAAATTAATTAATGTTTATCTTGATTAGGTTCCCCTGCCAGTCTCGATTTTGCTGTCAAAGAAAAGAGTCCTTACAATAGATAACATATTTAACAAGTTCCACCTGTTATAAAGAAGTGAATAGAAAACCAAAACCGATTGTAAAGTTAATATTCTCATCTTTATATATGAATGTCAACAAAGCATTTACAACCTCATTTATTTAAGATGTTAAGTGTTTACAGGAGCCTTTGTGAGTTTATACCTCCCTGGTGTTTATAAGAGTTTAAAATACAAATAAAAGTTAATGAATAAAATGAATTAAAATTCATGTTGATATTAATAATCAAGTATTCTTTTTATTCCTACTGTAAAATCTATATACCTTAAAAAAAAAAATACAACCTTATCCATGAATGATGAATGTCTTAAATTTCAGTATTTTGATGAACATTTGTTATCACCAAAAACTTAGTTTAAAGTAATCGAGTTTACAGGGCAGTTATACAACATTATATTTATCGGATTAGCTTAGATGTGTAAATATGACGTGATAATTTTGATAATCCATTGACGGGACAAACTCTCAGACACTTTGATTAAGGAACTGGCTTCTTAGGAAAGGGTATATTTGAATGGACGTACACTTTTGAATTCCAGCATTCCACACACATTATACCTGACGTTAAAAGTATGTATGCAAGCATTCATATATTAAAATAAAACACAATCAATTTACAAATTCCTTTAGTCTACAGGTGTACCATTCATATCGTAACGACGAGCCCAGTCTCGTGATATGTAGTACTACTTCTCACATGAATATTTCTTCACATCTTCATAACAAAATATTCCCTTAGAGTTCAGTTTCCAAAAATACGATTTCAATTCAGTTCCGGATTGCGAACAATGGTTTATTAAATCCGTTCTATTGTATTCACTCAGGTAAAAGCGACCCAGGCATTGACAGAATAATCGTTACGGTTGATGACCGCTTTTAATAAACCCGGTTCAATATGACGTGTTAGACTGGAGGCTGTTTAATTTATAAACAAGAAGGGCGTATACTTTCTTACACAGCCAGTGTACGTGTGTACAGAAGATAGGAGGGCAGATAACAAACCTAAAGGGCCCAGCAAATTATCTTCTGGTGTGCCAGGACCAGGCGACTGCTATTTTCGGATATTTTTCGTCGGCCATTGTGACAAATGATCGCTCAGGATTTTTAATTCCTACTTTTGATCAGTGGCTTGGTCTGTTTTATATGCATCCGTGACTCTGAAAAATTTGAATAATTTGAATAATTTTACGATCAGTTTTTGTAAGTGTCAAAATGGCCTGGCCTGGAGTGCTAAGAGTGGCATTCGCCCTAACGTTAATATCCTTGTTTTTCGTTCTTGTGGGGTATCTTTTACCATGGTGGTTTGTTGGAAAAGGTTTCTACATGGGCGTGTTTTACGGAATTATCTGTATCCCGGGGGATATTACGGATGGCAACTGTACTGTTTTCTCCTACTACGACATAAAGGCTGAAAACTCGAGTCTCGAACAAATTGGTATGTATATAAATATTTGTGAACGACGTTTGCCACATGTATCTACATTACACATGTTGTATTATTGTCTGATTGTAGTTATTTGATTATGATAAACTAACATATACTTTCTTAATTTCTTTATGCTCATCAACAGATTAGGTAGATGGGGCCATGACAAATCTTCACCCCAGCCCTTCCTTTGCTTTTTTTCAAACTGTTAAATTTACATTTCACATCGTTCGAAATATCCTCTTTCCCATTCCATCGATAATGATCTAGTGACCTGTCGATAAAAACAATTGATAAATATATGTATGTCGTGCAGCATTAATTTTTGGCGGTTGGGGTGGAGGTGTCAGGAATCATGAACTTTTGCCTAAAAAAGGAAGTTTAATGTTACGGATTTTAACCATATCTTCCAAATACATATTTCTCTTTCAAATTTGGGAATTGTCAAAGAAGAAATTTTGAGACTTTTCATTCACATGATGTATTCAAAATGTACTTTTAAATAGTTTTCAAAACGGTAGCTTCAGGTTTAGACAAAGGAGATTTAAAGCTTATTTTTTTGGCTAAATTCACAAGTTCTCCAACTCCACTGTCGGAGATGTTTACGGATCGAGAAACAATTCAAGCGTGTCATACATAAACTGACACATGTATAGGGGTACATAAATAAGAAAGGGAAGGGTAGATAGTAAATACAATGTATGGAGGAGGTTTGTAAAGGCTATATAACGAAGATGAAATAAGTCGTAAAAAAATGAAAATGTTGCGTATTTAAGGGACCATATCAGCTTTAAGCTTGATTTTAATCGGAAAACAAAATAGCATATAGAGGAAAGAAATATTTTATGCAGTTACTTGATAACTCATTAACAAATTAAAAAACAAAACAAATTATCCTCTAAAATTGAATAGATTTACTTTTTAAAAAGAATTTTACAGGGTCAAGTAAGGCCGATGGTGAAATTTGCTCTTTCTTAAAAGAATGAATTGTAATTTTGTAGGATACAATGCTGGTTACAAAATCGGAACAAATTTACTTTACTTTTTCAACCCCCCCCCCCCGACCCCAGCTCCACCCCACTGGTTTTTGGTAAACATAATACGTCATTATTGTCTTTTTAAATATTTCAGTTCAAAGTGTGCTTTTTGTCATCATACAAGTCGTGACGTCTGTGGCGGTTGGATTTACCCTCCTTGCCAGCCTTATTCTTATTATCGGCGCATGTGGGAACGTGAAGAGCAAAGGCCCTTACGTACTGGCGGCCATCTTTCAATTTTTTGGAGGTACATGTATGCTTTATCCATGTAAACAATGTAGTATAGTGGGAATAATAAAAAGAATAATTATCATTAAAATCATTTATCTTATCATTGTTTAAGGACACAGGTTACTGAAAAACATATGTTATAGAAATCTGCAAAATATTTTTTTTACATCCTCAATTATTACTAAAATGTAAATTCATCACAAAGTTTAGTTTAAAATATTTTTTATTCAAATCAATGAAATGGATTGAACAGCAGGCATAAATGCCTATGATCGTTCTCTCCATAGATCAAGGTACAATTACAAGCAGATATACATGTACATTTAAAAAATTGAAAAGAATATGTGAGGAGTAGATTATCAATTGGTACATATTAAGTATTCCATGTAAACATCGCCTCAATAAAAAATATTTGGAGCCTTGTCCAAGTTTAATTTTTGGGTTGGTATAATTCGCCTTATAAAGTTAATAAGATCTTGTGAAGTACAATCTTGCTAATTCCTAAACTGTACAGATTTGAATATGGTATAAAAGGCTGACCTCTTTGATGCCCTATAAATTTATGACAAACCTGTAACCGAAAGTAGACTAGATAAAATAACAATACAACGACTTTCAAAAGAATTGCGACTTTAAAAAAAAGTTTTTAACATAGCACCCTAGCACAAAAAAGTTTTAATGAGAGTAGCACTTTTATTCTCATATTTTAAGTGCAGGGATATAGATTAATTAAACTTAACGATACAGTGGTTTTAACCTTTTGACAAATGACATTGAGTCAAGACCGATAATTATTATACAAACAGGACGTTAACCTTTGGAATATGGATAGGAATCAATGTTAAGTAGTTCCAAAGCAACAACAATCATTTCTACTGCTTTGAAGTTTTATTATGTGATGATGATTTGAAAATACAATCTTTTAATTTTTCTTGATTATTGAAGTAAGCAGAAAAATACATGTAGTCAGAGACGCGGGATTTCATTGGACGACAAAAATAAACATAAGCAATCGTTTTCAATCTATATTTTGTCCATTGTAGAAAAAATCCAATGTTATCTTCACATGATCGCATAGCAAGTTAGGTGCTGTTAGATTTTATGATTTCTAGAGTGTTGGGATAGGTTGAACAGTATTACATCGATAGTAAATTTAATACTTTTCATAGGTAGATCTCATAACAGATTGAGAAAGGTAACAAAAACCCTGGACTCTATTTGATATATCGTCTATACAAGTGCAATATTTATGTGTAATAAATTATTACTAATAATCCATTCCAAGGAATATTGTTTGAAAGTATAATTTTGTTTTATATTTCAGCTTTGGTGGCAGGATTGACGGCCGGTTTATTTGCTGCCGTATACGTTGCTACTTTCGTCGGCTTAGAGGGCCATTTAGCGTTGGATGGGAAGAATTTCCCATATGCGATTCTTTCTTTAGGTATTGGTGGTTTCATATTATTCATCGCTTTCATTTGTCTTGCCATTGCAACGTGCACGTGGAGAAACATGGATGATGATGACGATGACGATTTGAACCCACCTTATCCAATGAGCGACTACAAGGGTGGCTATGGCAACCAGGGGTACACAAGCGACAGCAGGAGAAATGATTACATCGTTCCTAGTAGCTCCCACAAGTATGGCTACGAGTCTAGGAATGACAATAGTAACTCACGGTATGACTACAGTAGCTCTAGAAATGACTACACAAAGTACACAGGGTCCAGGAATGACTATTCCGGATCACGAAATGGTTATCCCGCCAAACAGGATAACCCTTATAGAAACGATAACATGTACCGACCATATAACAGTAGTTCCTCTCGGTATTAGGACAGCAAGAATCAAACCATTTGTCAAACACCACATCAAGTTCAAACCCAAGCAAATAAAAAAGCCAACTTGTGACGAAAGGTATGTGACATAGCCGTGGATATCTGCCATTTGTACACAATCTAACAATTTTCATTTTCTTATATCTCCCTCAGAAAGTGAAAGACATTGTGGCTAGTTTTTTTTTCAGTCATCTCGGAATTCGGATACCCACCGGGTGATGAGTAAACGACGAGATCACCCGGGGGTGTCCGATGATTCTTTGAATGTGAACGTTTTAACAAAATATAATATTCATGTCATCTATTTAGTGAAATTGACGGTCAAGAGATGTAAACATTTCCAAAATCCAGCATATATCAATCAGAGATCAAAAGCAGCCCTGAGCCATTGTGTGCAGGATACGAGACAAGAGAAGGAAAATTCTATTGTTATTGAGGGTGTGAATTTTCCCAGTATCATTATTATTATAATAAATGCAATTGATATTAAATGATATTTTCTTTATGTATATTGACATATTTTGTATGATTTAAGATATTCAAATTAAATAGCTAAAAGTATTATTAATAGTTATTTTTTTCTTTTTACTATAGGATTACCCTGAAAAAAAATATTAATAGTAAACTATAGTTTACAATAGTTAACTACAGTTTTCTATAGTATCATGGTAAATAAAAGTATCCTTTTTTTTTTTTTTACTTTGGATTTCAGATTGTTTTCGTTTGTTTTCATATATTCATACTTGCATATATTTAATATTAAATAGAAATACTTGTATATTAGCATATTATTTTCAAATTTTACGTCATTGGTATTGAATTTAAGAGATTTTAAAATTCAGAATTAAAAAAAAGTTCTACATTAACGTTTCATAGTAAAAGTATCAAAGTATTTACTATAGTAAACTATAGTTAACTATAATAAATTTTTGTTAGGGATATACTATAGTACTCGAACTTGTTTCAAAGTGCAGCGGTGTCTCTACAAATTTCTATACCGTAACAAAGTTTTTTTTAATAGATTGAAAGGTGAAAGGAAATATTTATAACCGATATATATATGTTACAGTAAATATTTGAAATCAGGAATTTCATGTATTTCCTAAACCGTTCAGTAAATACATGTAATTACTAGTTGTTTTAGGAAATACATGTAATTACTGAATATAGCGTGGAAATTCATGTATTTACTGAAAAGTTTAGCCAATTTTACAAGTTTTTACTAAACTAAGCTGGATGACTATACCGGTACTAGTATGTATGTTTTTAAAGCAGCATTTATAAGAATTGTTTCTACAAAGCTGACGTTATACATTAATTTCCGATTCTGGACAGGAGTCACAGGACTCAGTGCATTGTCTTTCTAAAATTCCACTTAAGGAAGAATGCTTTAAGCTATTTCCATCCTCCTGTGATGTCATATGTTTTTTTTTTTACAAAAACTTTTATCAATCTAAATTCATACCCAATAGAAAAATATCTTCTGGAAGAATGCTTTTCAGGTGTGAATTAAAATATTGTTAAGTAAAATAATTTTAAAAATGTATATTTTCTTCATTTAATCAATTATCAATCTTTAAAAAATATTGCTAAGGGCAATAACTCCTTCTTGTGTACCTTCATTCGGGCATTTTCTTTATTGTACTTCTGATGCAAAATGGATTCCCTGATATTCACAGTTCAAATATATTTATAAAGAAGCAGTTATTTTGGAGCTTTCAACATCAGAATGATGTATTTGAACTAGTTTTTACATAATTTTTATTATAAAATTTATCAAAAATGTACGATTTTTTAATGCTGATATATGTGGTACTTCTGTTTATTTGAGTCTTACATCTTTAAAAATATGGTTCAAAGTACATGTATATGGTGACATACATATATTTTGCAATTATTAGTTAATTCAAACTATAATAATTCAATTTTCCTTACTTCTATCACTTTGAAGTAATGTATTTCTACGGAGAATTTTTTCTGTTCATTTTCCGATGAATGTAATGTCAATTTTAGTAACCGAACTACTTTTTAGCTCACCTGATCCAAAGGCTCAAGTGAGCTTTTCTGATCAAAATTTGTCCGTTGTCTGTCGTCGTTGTCGTAAACTTTTCACATTTTCATCTTCTTCTCAAGAACCACTGGGCCAAATTCAACCAAACTTGCCACAAAGCATCCTTGGGTAAAGGGGATACAAGTTTGTTCAAATGAAGGGCCACGCCCTCTTTCAAGGGGAGATAATTAGGAATTAGTGAAAAAATAATGGCATCATTTAAAAATTTTCTTCTCAAGAACCACTGGGTCAGGAAAGATGAAACTTATGTGGAAACATCCTCAGGTAGTGTAGATTCAAATTTGTTCAAATCATGACCCCCGGGGGTATGGTGGGGCCACAATGGGGGATCAAAGTTTTACATAGATATATATATATATATATATATATATATATATATATATATATATATATATATATATATATATATATATATAGGAAAATATCTCTAAAAATCTTCTTCTTAAAAACAGTAAAGCCATGATTGGTCATATTTATATGGAAGCATCCTCAGGTAGTGTAGATTCAAGTTTGTTCAAATCATGACCCCGCGGGTAGGGTGGGGCCACAATGGGGGATCAAAGTTTTACATATATATATATATATATATATATATATATATATATATATATATATATATATATATATATATATATATATATATATATGTATAGGAAAATATCTCTAAAAATCTTCTTCTTAAAAACAGTAAAGCCATGATTGGTCATCCTCAGGTAGTGAAGATTCAAATTTTTTCAAATCATACCCCCGGGGGTAGGGTGGGGCCACAATGAGGGATCCAAGTTTTACATAGAAATATATAGGAAAATATCTCTAAAATCTTCTTCTTAAAAACAGTAAAGCCATGATTGGTCATGATTTATATATATATTTATATGATTGGTCATATTTATATGGAAGCATCCTCAGATAGTGAAGATTCAAGTTTGTTCAAATCATAACCCCGGGGATAGGTTGGGGCCACAATGGGTGATCAAAGTTTACAGAGGAATATATAGGAAAAAGTCTTTTTCTCAAGAAAAGAAAAGCCATGATTAGTCAAATTGATATGGAGGCATCTTTGGGTAGTGTAGAATGAAATTTTTTCAAATGAGGGCCCCTGGGGGTAGAGTGGGGCCACAACGGGGGATCAAATTTTTACAAATGAATATATGGGAAAAAAATCTGCTGCTCAAGAACAACAAAGCCATTTGTTATATTGATGTGAAAGCATCATCAGGTAGTTTAAAATTCAACACCCCCCTCCCTGTAAACTTTTCAATACTGTACTGATTTTTGCTTTTTTCCTAGCCAATGTGCTCAGGTGAGCGATGTGGCCCATGGGCCTCTTGTTATCAATTATTGTCAGTGTTTTTCATTCCAATAAATATAAGCACGCGACTTTGTTATAAACTTATACTCTCTAAAACGTATGACAATGTTCTTTTCATGATTTAAATTCAGCTTCTGTAATTTTTTTGTTTCTCTCCGCGTGCTTTAAAGGAAATATTTTAATCATATGTTTCTATTTTTAAATTACACAATAAAAATTCTTGTAGAGTAGAAAAAAGAAAAATATTCAAATAAATTATTAAGCGAGGTAACTGTTGTCAATGAGTAATGCCGGGGATGGCAAGGGACATAACTCTGTAAAGAAGCACGTGTTTTGCGTTTTTTATTTGTAAAGAAAGAATTTGCATTGATTTTGGTACAAAATGAAAACCAAACTAGAAAAAGTTATTATGTAGCCTAAGTTATAAAAATTAAATGATAAGAAGGACCTTAGACTAAGTTTTCCCGATGTGAGTGTTATTATCACATTCTCACGTAGGCCTATTTCGTCTGCACATCAACTTTATATAGGGTATTAACCATGTTAATTGTCAATCAAGTTGTACGTGTATTAAGGTGTATCGACAAGTAAGTTTATTTCTAGATATTTTTTTTTTAACCTGAAGATATTTCTTTCTAATATTCCATTGCACTCCACTCGACGTGTTACCGTTTGCTTACTGACAACAAAGCAAGTTTCTGCCTGCTTTATGTGTAATCGCTTTTAAAAATAGCAAGTGCAGATTTTCGTAACTTACGTAATCTATAACTTAGTAAATCATTATAAAGACAATAAAACATAACGGGAATTCTTTATTTTTATAACATTTAAAAAAAATTATACTCGCCTTGTGTACTACAGGCTTTTAGATCCGCTCCCAGGAATCGTGTAATTTTCCAATTGATATATTTCTACGCAGCTGTCGGCATGTAAATTTCGTGCACAATTTTTTGAGTTAGCCAAATAATGAGTATGTACATGAAAAGTAACATGTTTTCGCTGAAATTGAATTATAAGCATTGACTATATAAATGATTTTGTTCATCGAGAAATGAATCTAAAAAACGAATCGCACACTTTTTTATGAAAGCCTTCGGCTTTCATAAAGTGTGCGATTCGTTTTTTAGATTCATTTCTCGATGAACAAAATAATTTGAAGGCTTTCATAAAAAAGTGTGCGATTCGTTTTTTAGATTCATTTCTCGATGAACAAAATAATTTATATAGTCAATACTATATTCACTGAAAATAAATGCAGTTTTACTACTTTGAACCATTAAAATTGTGAGGGTGGAAAATGCCTTACAGTTTCATCATCGTATTTTATAAGATTTTTTGCATTTTTCAAGAGACCGCATAAGAATTGTTTATTTGCAAATAAGATGATTCGGGGTTTTAAATTTACTGTCAGTAAAGGCAAAGTAGCAATGTATGAATATCTAGTAAAATAAGGAATGTCAGTAAGCGATTTTAGTTTTTTAAATTAACTATACTGTTATCTGTTATATTTTATGATGCATATTATGAATTATCTCACCAAAACACAGTCAGTAAATATACATGTAAAACAGTCAGTAAATATACATGTAAAAAGTATTGAAAAATTCAGTAAATACGTGTATTTCCTAATCTGAAATCAGTAAATCCCCGTATTCCCTAAGCAGAATAGGAATTTCATGTATTTCCTAAAATGCAGGAAATACATGAAATTCCTAATTACGCATATTTACTGTAATATATATATATATATATATATATATATATATATATATATATATATATATATATATATATATATATATATATATATATATATATATATAATGTTTTATTAATTCTTGCATTACGATTAGTCGAGATATGCATTTTTGTTAATTCTCACGATTGAAAAAATTATTCCTTTTAATAAACATACTTCGTCCAGTCAGCTGATGAAACATCGATTTATCATAAAATCATAAAATCTGTTGCATTTGAAAGGTTTTCTGGTTTGATTTGATAATATTTTGTTGTATTTGAATTTTACAATTGGGATCGGGCAAAAGTTCTAAAAACTTGATATGCCCTTTCCCTACATGTGAATTATGATAAATATATTTACACATTTTCTCTCATTACATTTCAATAAAACTCGGTCTATGATTCAAGTAAACGATTTTATTTGTAATCAAGAAAGTGTA